CAGAAGGTTGTGTGCCCAAGGTCACACGCGAGTAAATGGCCTGGCCAGCACTCCAACTGGCTGTTCCCAGTTAGCTCTCTCCTACTGCCCACACTGCTCATTTTTGTTGTTGGGTTTTTTTTTTAAGAAAAATAAACTTCTTTTATACTGGTTTACTTAAAAAAATTCTTTCATTGTTGTACAATCAAGTCATTTTTTAATGTAATAAACTGACTTCTAAATTAACTTTTCCAAAATAAATGCAAAATATTATTTTCCAATATAAGATTGATTAATTTTATCAGTAAAGAATTTTGTCTTTGCCCTGAATTCCTAAGACAGAATCTATAAAAAGGCTTGGAATTTAAGTGTTTCAAAAAGAATGTCAGACCTCACCTAAGGTGAGGCAATGAGAGGACTTTGGGAAGGGAGATGCCAAGGTAAAAACATCCACTATGTAATGCCTCATGACCACCTCATCACCTCATCTTAGAAGAGGGACTGCTAAGTTCAGAAAGGCTCTCTTGATATCATCCAACCTTAGAAGAGAAAGGCTGGAGTTTGCATTATGTAAAGAGACCCTCAATAAAAGCTTTGGAAAAGGATAATCCCTGAGCAGTTGTTGTTGTTGTTAGGTGCCATTGAGCACGACCCATAGTGACTCTATGAACAACAGGTCTGAATTCTATCCTATCTCACACTCCTAACTCACTAGAGCCTATTGCAGCAGTAAGCATGTCAATCCATCTGGTTGAGAGCTTTCCTTTCTTTCACACACCCTCCACCTTTCCAAGTATGATGACCCTAAACAAGGAATAGTATCTGCCAACAACATGTCCAAAGTGTGTGAGATGGAGATTTATCATCTTTGCCTCCAAGGACCACTCTGGCTGCACTTTGAAGACACTGAATGGTGTTGAATTAATCATCAAAAAGGAAATTTCTAGACAGATAGATATTATGCACATAGCTTTTTACAAGAAGATTATGTCAAAATCTATCCTGAAGTACAATGTTGTCAGTGAAAAGATACTATACTTGTATACACAAGGAAGATTCATTGATACATTTATTCAATCACTAAAGTAAAAAATAAACAAACTGAGAACTTAAACTACTGCCGTCTGAAAATGATTAATACAATCAAGATATATTAATAATTAATGACTGGAATGCAAAAGTTGGAAAGAGGATTGATACTTAAGAAAATAGGGCCTTTTTGACAGAAATGAGGTTAGAGGTCACAAAACAATTTTTTATAATAAATTGTTGTTGTTGTTATGTGCCGTCGAGTCGCCTGCGACTCATAGCGACCCTAAACTC